AATGAAGTTGGTGCTTGTTTGGCAAATGTCGAACTACAATGGCATACATACCCTGGGTGGATTCTTCTCTAAAGGGAAGAGAGTCATGGAGACACCCGGTAAGTTTAAGATGTACTGCACTTTTTATGGTATCTCTCTTTCATAGATTACCCACTTTTTTTAGGAAAGATGACACGTTAGGCTTCCATTTTTGTCATGTATGGTGGTATGAAAAACACTAGTGACTAGACTAATTTAAACTGATTGGCTATCTGATTAGTTAAAGCTTAACAATTTCATTGGATGGGTTTGGTTAAATTTTGATATTAAGTTCAGGCACAATCCCTATCCCCCGGCCAGCCCGCTTCGGTCAAATTTAGAGCAAAGTTACTGAGTAATGAGACAATCAGTTTGTCTCTGTTTAAGGTTTTGAAGTGTTACAATAACCCGTTTGGTTGAATCTGTTTTAATAATGAATGATTTACTCCGATTATGGTCACCTATGAAATGTTATCTCGCATGATTCACATCACCTTTTGTATTACATCCAAATAGTACAGGTATAAGAACATATATAGAATTTCAAAATGAGTGACATAAGGTTCAAATCCCTTGCGTGAATGGATGTGTCAAATTCTGGTATAAGAGTACTTTTTGTTTTAATGTTACATTATAATTATGTGGGACATTGTGATTTTACAAAATCATAGAAACAATGAACCCAACAAAAGTGGAGCAATAAGTTATCATTGCAGAAGCTGCTGTTGTCACATCTCTTAACTTGGTTGAGCAGCTGCTAGCTGAATTTGAATCAATGCCTGAAAAAGCATAAAGAAATCTGTTCTGGCCTTTTTGGGAAATTAAATTTGGATTTCAATTTCAAATTTGACCCAAGTTACATGTTTAGAAATCCAAAAAAAAGGGTATGGATTGGGGTCCAAGAATTCAAATGAATTACTAGTTTCCAAATACTACCTTAAGTCATTTCATAATGAACAAATATGAAGTTACGAACCAACATAGAGGTCTTTGAATAGCTATTTTTGTTAGGTTGATTTTTTAGGGTGTAGCTATAAGTTTTAAATGACCATCTCTTAGCACAAGCTATTAGGAGCTATAAGTTTTTTGTTTGGATAGGAGGGACCAAATTTAATAAAGTGAAGAGAGAGAGAGAGAGAGTATTGTAGAGGAGTGGATGGTATGGTGTTTGGATTGAAAATTTTGAGGGATGGAATAATAAAGGATGAGGAATAAGTTTTGTTTGGATTGAATGGAAAATGAATGGAGGGGGTATATTTTTAATGTAAAATTAGTTTATAAGGAGGAATTAGTATCCTATCCCTCCATTTTACTCCAATTTGGAGGGAATAGAATACATTGGAGAGTAAAGGAAAGGTAATACCCTCCTAATCCTCTCCCCTCCAAACACACTTCCATTGCAATCAAAGAATGAAATGCCTCCCTCCTTTCGTTTACCTCCCATTCCCTTCAATCCAAACACACCCGGACGGAAGGGCATGTGATGGAAGGGTTAAAGAAATGAATGATTTTGTTTTTGGTTCAAAAGAGGAGGGGAGGGGATTGGGGGGTGATTTTGGATTCCTTTCCCTCCAGAATCTTTAGACCAAACAAGGGAAGATGCTGATTTTCCTCCCTTTCCCTCAAACCAAACAGACCCATAGGGGGGTTGGGGAGAAGGGTCCCTTTTAATTCATTTCATCTCATTTCATTAAAGTTTAATGCCAGTATCATTTGAACCGTGCCCAAGTTACGCCTGAGCAACAAAAAGAACAGTTGTGTGCATCGCGTGCATCATATACATAATACCCCGGAGTATATATATACGATGTTATACCGGGAACACATCCAAAGTAGTTGAAAAGGAGTCCACATCTAGCAGGCAACATTTGAGCTTCATTGATATCAATCCCAGCCTTCTCTGCTTCATTGCTGCCTCTGATGCTGACCATTTGGCACAAACATGCCGGCATGTTCTCTATCATCTCTTTCAGGGGATCGCAGCAGCTGCTAGGCGGGCCCTGGCTTCCGTTCAGGTAATTCAAACAGGGCACCAGCTTGTTCAAGCACTCGTTCTGGTTCGCGTTTCGAGTCTGATTCGTATCTCCTGCTGCTTCAAAACATGATGATGACCAAAGCATTGTCATGCCAACAAAAATGGCCCCTAATACACGTCTCGCGTTTCTCATCTTCTGGTATCTCATCTGCTGGCTGGTTTGATTCTCTATATTTAGTTCTGCTTTGGTGTCTTTATATATATATAGGGCTGCTTTTTTTATAGCTTCTTTTTATAGTTTTGTTTGGTTTTTATGATTGAGAGTTGGCGATCAAACACTGCTCTCCCTTCTGGATTATGGCTCTATGGCAGTAACATAGACAGTTGAGCTACATCAAATTTATCTATATATCACAATGAAGCCAATGTCCATATGGTGTTGGATGAGTTGAAAATCAAACAAAAAAGTAGAATTTATTTTGAATGATCCAGCAATTTTAACCCAAACCTAAACATGGTAGTATTACTTTTTTAGTTTATTTTTGATAAATGATTTGATTTAACCATAACTGATCTTTGATGCTCCTCTCGGTCTAAAAAAGACTTTAGTTTTACGCCCCAAAAAGACTCCTCTTTCCTTTTATGGAAAACTTAAAACTTACGTGATTCATAATCTTTTTCTCTTCGGTTTACTTTCCTTAAATTTTGTGTCAAGTAAATCAAGAGTCTTTTTTTCGAAAAAGAGGAATTTACTTGTTACTATCATCGTTATTGTGCATCTGTATTGTCGATGTCAATATTGATGATCTTATTTACGGCGGGTGGGAGTGATTATCTTACAAAAAAGTTTCAATTTTTTTTAATAAAATGCAATATAATTATTACTACCTTCGTCTCAGTGTATTTGTCTCGATTTTTAAACTCCAATTACTCTCAATTTGAATAGCATATTAGTACAATGAAATAAAATTATAAAAGTTATCATCAAAGTAACTCTAATAAAATCATTCTTTTATATGGATATACATAATGGTTTTATTTAATTAAAGCTTAAAGGTTATTCAATTTGACTCAGATATACACTATGATGGAGGGTGTATTTAATTGGCAATCATATTTTTTACAAGATCAAATTTTATTTACTTTCTATATCTATTTTTGTTAATTATTTGATAAATTATATAATCATATCACTACTTATTTTTTAGAGCTTATATAATTTTTTTCTAAAATTTCACTTTAGTTTTCTTATAAATTGAATGAAAAATAAATTCAAACTAAAACATGCCGCATCAAAGGGGTGATGAAAAATGTTAGAGCTTCCAAATTGGTCAGTCAAATCAAATTTGGGTTTGGATTACTTCAGACTCGAATACATTCAACTCCTGACTAGAAACTGTATGTTCATGATTTGGGCTCAGTTCGAATTGGTGATTGGGGGTTTGAAGTAACCTAACATTTTAGTTTTATATTAAAAATAAAAAGTATCAAAATATACATTAAAGCTAGTGTACATTTTACTTTTATTTTTAAGTACATTTTTCATATATACCACAATGTTACAAATAAAACTCGTATAAAAAATTAAACACATAATTTTTTTGAAAAAGAAATATAAAAATAAAATATAACTAAAAACTCATTAAAAAAATAAATTTATGCATAAAAAACGTAACATAAAAAACATAATATTATAAAGCTACATTTATGGTCTCACACTTAAAATAAAAACGAGTAGATGGAATCAATTTTTGTGAAGTCTACAAAATCGGTTTAACCTTTTTTTGGCCTACAAATAGTAAAATGTTTTTTAATTTGTTTAAAGTCAAAGGTGTGGACTGTGGAACATGGGCAAAGAAATATTGTGAATCGGTGCATGCATCCGATTGGGGGAAAAGTCGCAATGCACACGCAGGTGTCCCCATAAAAATAATAAATAAATAGATTTTTTTTTGAAGAAATAGATAAATAGAATTAAACTCACGATAATATCAATGTTTGTAAATAAATGTAAGAAAGTGATGCCAATATTAAAGTCAAACTCTAGATACCCCTAACATGTGATTCATAAAAAAAGTTGTGCACTTTCTTCTACAAATTTTGAAATTCACATTTGATTTTAATCATCAATAAAAATTACATGATTAAAATTTGTACCAAAGAAAATTCGTACTGCCTATGCATCACTCTTTTAAAAGAAATACAAAATAAAATCTTTAAAGATTTGCATTTTTTCTACAAATTCTAGAGTTCACATTTGATTTTTATCGATGATAAAAATTACGTGATTAAAATTTGCGTGAAAGAGAAGTCGTATTCCCTATGCATCATTCCTTAAAAGGAATACAGAGTAAAAGCTTTAATGTGAAGTGTCATAAAATAGAAAGTTAAAAACTTAAATATGAGATAATAAAATATTGAAATGTCGTTTCATCCGTCTTAAAAAATCTTACAAAATATTTTTTTAGTAGCTCTCGTATTCATTGGTATAGTATCTGTTCAATCTTTATAATTTCAAAAAGGTAAAATTATGTTTTTAAAAGATATAAAAAAATGGTAAACCACAAAGTTTCAAAATATATAGCATGACAAACAGACTTTTTTGTTAGACTAGAAAAAATTGTACACAATAACTATTCACCAAACACCTCTAGCATATGTTTGGCCAACCATTAACTTAAATCATCTTTTGACAAAACAACCCCTTCTTTTCCTCTCTTATGTTTTTTCTTTGTCCCAATTCATCTTTTTCACCGTTTTTTGGGCAGACACGATGACAAAACTTTCTTTATGTCTTGTTGGTGCAAGTTAATGTACAAAAAGTATTTTTCCAATGAAGAAAAAAAAATAAGAGCACATGAAAGTGAGTCAAGATCAAAGATAAACCATAAAAGTTGCTTTAATTTTATATATATATATATATAGACACACACACACATCATTGAAAAGAAGAAGCTTTAAGATCATACCCCCTTCTTCCAAATAGTAAAAAAAGTAAAGGCTTAAATGATACTGTATGATTTTAATTCTGAGAATATATGGATGATTTATTGTTTGAGAACCCTTTCAGGTTGTTTTTATTTTTCACCTCTAAAATTTACATTGCTTTCTTTTTTTATCTCTCTCCGACTCTACATCAATCTCTGATTAATTTTTTTGTTTTAATTAAAAAAAACTGATGTGACAAGCAAAATATCAGACGTGGAAATGTCTAACATTTTGCGAGTCATGCCATTTTTTCATTAAAAAAACAGAGATTATTGGAGAGTCGGAAAGCGAGTTTTAAGAAAGGCTTAATACAAAATGTCAGGGGCCTAAAAAACAAACAAACAAAACCTTATATTTGTAGGGGAAAAACATATTTAACCCAAAACTAAATAGCAGCATTAAATAAAGAGACAATTACCCATCAAGCTTCTCAACACTGTTTCTTCTTCTACTTGGTTGTTGAAACCCATCCTTATCTTCATGTCGAGAAGAAGAACTCGCCAATTCTTATGGTACATACATTGTCCTCCAAACAGTTTTCCTTTCATGGACCTACGCTCTGTCCTTCCTCTCAAGCTATAGTCTCAATCCAAGCAAGCCTTGAGCTTGAGCTGCAGGGAGTGATGGTGGCATGTGTCAAGCTTCTTCATCTGTGCAACTTGGAGGGTCTGAAAGTGGATGGCCTGGACTGACATTATCACTTTGGGGAAGCTTCATCTTTGGTGAAAGCATCTTGGCTTCTTCGTTTGTGTATATGAAGATTTTTCTGACCATGCAGCAGAACTCGCTGTATACATGCATAGAATTCATGAGAAAGCCAAGAAAAATATCAACTTTAATCAGTAAATTCATATATTTATGCATATGTTGTAGTGTTATAGTAATAACACTGAAATAAATGCAAAAGGACTCAACTGCCAAGGATCATCTCCGACCATCATCATGTCGTCTTCATCATCTGTGTACACAACCTGCCATTTCTTGACTGACCCACACAGCTCACCTTCAATCTCAAACATTTTTTCTAATTTCTTCAGCAAATCATCATATCCATTGTACCCGGTCACGTCTACTGCTCTCCCGACTGCCTTCCCTTGCATGTGAACCTACACCACCCCCCAAAAAATAAAAATATTATACTGCAGTTAATGAATCAAAATGATTGGTTTGGTTGAGTAAAGGCTTTTCAAGACTTTAGAGAAACCAAATGAGATTATTGCAACCTAGAAATTTTATGATTTTATACTCCTGCATCATTTCTGTTAAAAAGAATGATATTAAAAAGGAGTAAAGATAATTTTTCAATTCACTTATACAAGTCATGGGCTATGTACCTTAGTGCAGCTCCTAATTTGCTTGCTTTGAGATTCATGGGTGGATCTCAAAGATGATCTCTCAGGATCAATGTCAGACCTAGTTGGGTATGATGGTTCGGAAAGTTGTTCAGATTCAGTATCAAAAGGTGGGTTTGGATGGTTCTCTTGAGGTGGTGCAGCAACCGCATGTGACGTGTCATTTGTTGAATGGCCCAGCAACTCAAACCCAAACAGTTTGCAGCCATTCCCCTGTCTCCTTTCAGTGGCTGGTGCAGCCGAGTCTGTTTTAGACTTAGTTAGACAGAGAAAGGTTTAACTGAAGGAAATGAATCATTCTTGTAGTTACCTGCTGGGTTGTTGGCATTTGACTCAAAAGAGAGTTTGAGTGATGGATATGATTCTGGATCGCATCGTGAGAGTGGTAATGGAGAATCAGCAATTGAATTCCATGTACCTATTCATTAGCAAGCATGAAGAGGCTTTTAGGTTATCAGATATAATATTGATAATATTCTCAAATAATGCAAAAGAATTTTATATACTCCATCAAAAAAATTACACCTTGTGGAAGAAATTCTTGTGCAGGTGAAGCTGAAATGGTTAGGCGTGAACGTTTGTTCCTATGGTGATGAAGTTGAGGATTTTGAGGTGGCAATGTTGCCACAAGTGGTTCAATCTCCCATGGGGATACCCTTTCAGGACGGAGAACTGATGATGGCTCGTCCCATTGAACCTGAAACAAATAAAAGCAGAAAATGGATATTTGGTTTTTACCCAAAACTTACTAAAATGACCAAAGGGGAAACAAAGAAACAAATGTAGGAAAGAGCCCCTGGTGAAACATTTCTTTAAAAGGAAGTAAAAAAACGGTTTCATTTTTTTTCGTATGTCCCAAAACTATCATAAAGGATTATGTAGGTCCTGTTATTTCTCTCATTTGAATACATCTCAACCATACAATTTCAAGATTTTTAAAAACGTATAAAAGTCAAATGAAGAGTTACATAGGGACAGAGGTAATATGAAATAATTGAAGAAACATCAGTGAAAATACAATCACCTTTAGAGCTCTCCATTTAGAATCTGCCCATCTAGATGTCGTCTCATCTCCAACGCCGATGATGGTCCCACTGAACCTGCATAAGGATGTCAATAACCCTGAGACACATTCATTTAATCGAGCTAATCTAACCAAAATTTCAGCAAAGCCAAATCCCCATAGACCTAAAAAAAACTCGGATTGTGAAAATACCTTCTTTCCAGGACTTCCTCGCCTTCAAACACCATCTTGAACCTCATTCCGACAGAAAACTTGTTATTTTGTGCTTCAAGATATTTGTTCACACTCACAACAAACTGAGATGGGCTTGTCCTGGTGGGCATCAGGCATTTAGTTGCTCAATACCAAAAACAAAAATTAATACCAATGAAACTACTTTTTCTGTACTGAGGTAGTAAAATGCGCGTGCACACAGGCACACACACACACACACACATTGAGCACAACCTTGGCTTGTAAAAAACAGAGAAAAAAGTCCCTGTTGAGATGGCATGTGAAGCAGTGGCAAGAACTCCCAGATGCATGCTGTGACTTGATATAACAGAAGATGATGTATTGTTTAGCTGTCTCATATGCCTTCTAACACCAACTCTAAGCTCCCTATTTTCACCTCTGTATTTAGAAAAAAATTGCATCTTGTGTATTATAAGACAATAATCTACTTGGTGATTGCATGAATATACTTAATAATCATCAAACTCGCCTGAGGAAGATGAAGGCATCTCCAGCTACTAATTTCTTTGCACTAACAAAAACACTCCACCCAGTCGTGAGTAAGTGACGCCTTGGTTGACCTGACATTAGGGGATGTCTTATTTTTCTTTCAAAACAACTTAAAGCTAAACACAACTAGATTGGGTTGATGCTAAATAGAGTTAGAGATGAATGGGGAATTGGGGATAGAGAGAAGCTTAACCCAAAAGCAAAGTTACCACGAAAGATGTGACGAAAATGCCACTGATTGCCATGAAGATCAGTAGAAACCAACTCCTGCCAAGGTGGCTGTTGAGACATATCCTGATACCCAAGCAATATGTAAATACAAAGTAGGAGATTTAAGTTCGAATGAAGTGCTCGAGTGAAATGCTTAATTGCTAATAATGAAGACGAAGAAAAAGAAGAAGAAGAAGAAGAAGAAGAATACCAATGGGGGCAAACATTCATCTGCATGTCTCCTGAGAACAGAAAAGCCACCATGGGTGCTTGTATCAGATGCAGTAAGTGTTTTACAAAATGAATGCATTTCAAATTGTTGAGGTTCAGGAAGAGGGGGATCGGGACTTGTTATCTCACTTTGCTGCTTCCACAGAGAAAAATGAAAATGAAACATGATGTTAAGCCAATTTTTATTTAATCAATATTGACACAAACGTTTTAAGGAGAGTTAAAACTCACATCGGTTTCAGGAATCAAAGTCAATTGGGCATACACCTCATCCGTTTCAGGTTCAGCCTACAGCACAAGCAGAGAGGTACTGAATTTAATGGAAGCACATACAGAGGCTACTCCCACACCCCAACCCCCCAAAAAAATGCATGAAGTAAACTTGCCTGAAGAAGGACATTCATTACTCTGCACAGAATTTTATCTGGTAAATTGAATGAAGGAATCTGCTGCTCTATTCCCTGATGGGTAGATGCTTCAAGCTGTAACAGATTAAAATGAAAGACAGGGAAAAAATGAATTCAACAGTCTCGGTGTGTGTTTGGGATAGTTAGAATGATAGATTATTTCATCAATCAATTATTATCAAACTCAGTTTCTCATTTTGGATACACGTTGTTGAAAGTGATTTGAAAATACTCCGTAATTAATTTCATTCAGATGCAACAAAAAATATCTCTTACTGTAGGTTTCCAAGCAATCTCTCCTTCTATATCAAAATCATGAAGCAGAGGAAAGAGTGAATGTTCGTGACATGAAGCCAAGAGAGTGATACCTGTTCCATGTGACCTTGTGGAAAATAGTAAACTCTTTCTCCTTCACGAGGAACTGTGACAAGTGGTCCAGCGCATGCATGCCACAGCTCCTTGTACAATGCATCACTCGAAGACCCTGTTGCAAAAGCTCATCTAATGTAAGTCGGAAAAGGCAAGTGCAAAAAAAAAAGAGTTGCAGCCAAGTAACTTGTCAATAAAAACGCATGAAATCCATGTCAACCACTTTCACATGATGGATTCTTAAGCTTTTCAACAGGAAACAATGATAAATTACACCAAATGATCACGATCAAACAAAGCAAGTTAAAGAAAACCTGATCAAGCAAAAAAATTAGAGGAAAAGTAACAACAGATTTCATAATCAATGACCAAACAGCACATGTGAAAGTGCATAGAAGAAAACAACACCAACCTGGATGATGCCCTCCAGTAAAATGATTTGTGGCAAGGTGTGCCATCATAAGACCAACGTGAACTCTTTTGTGTTTGATATTTAATCTCAATCTCACTTAGAAGAAAACCAGACGCTTGTTACCTAATACAAATGCTCCTGCTATGCCAAAAAAACAAAGAGACAGTAAGATCCAATTAATGGAAGTGGAACTAGGAAATAACCAATTAAAGAAAATAGTGAATGAACTGTAAGACATCTTAAACTCCGAATAAAAAAAGGTTAATCTTTACTTCAGAAAAACTGGTTACCCAACCCACAAACTTGTTCTAAGCATTACCCGAAGTTGCAACGCCACACTATCTCCACCTGTAATTCATGCTGAAATCTCACCTTATTCGGATTTCAATGGACCCGCTCCAGGTCACATTTTCCCAGGAAGACGGCAGTGGTTCTTTGACAATGAGACAAGTTCTGGGTCGAGCTTAAAATGAGAAACCTCGTTCGCAATGTGTAAGATGCGCTGAAAAATTGTTTGTTAATTAAGAAGAAGAAGGAGGAGGAGAAGATAAGAAACAGTATTTATTTTAAAAAAATCTGTTGAGCAAATCTGTTGCTGAGATGAAAGTAGAGCGAATCTGGAAAAGGTAAAATTTTGAGCTAACAAATCACCAAATGATAAGATCGAAGCAGGGAGAAGAGATCCATGGAGTTAAATAATTGCCATTGAAACAGGAAAAATGCTTCCACCGAAAAACAAGCACGAGAAGAAGGAATCAAAAACCTGGAACCAGACATAAATGGAAAGTTCAAGGAATCAAAACCTCACCTCAAAAAAGGAAACGAATTGAAAATATTTCAAGAATTGCAGCTGGAATCAACTGAGAGGGCAGCACCAGGAAAAGACTCGAACGGAGAAGGCAAGAGAGAAAGAGAGAGATCTGGAAAACAGTAGTTGGACACTTTCTCCTCTCTATCAATAGATGCGTGCATATCATTCCATGGATGCAATGAATCTATCCAATTCTTCTTCTTCTACTTCTTCCCCCACAGAAGAAATAAAGAAAGAAAATGAAAGATTGAATTTTTTGTTACTGGTACTATATTAAAAAAATCCCCCGGGGGGAGGGGTTTGTTTTAACTCGTTTTCTTTCTCTCTTTCTTTATTTTCTTTGCGAGTGTTGTTGAATGTTGGACTGTGTGGAGCAGTGGCGTCAAACAGGATAGACTTTGGAACGCAGCGAGACAGAGGCGTGGGGGGGTGGGGTAGAGCTACCCCCAGTGGGCCGCACACTGTAATGAATGTCCTTCCCGCATTTTCAGCGCCTTCACAGACCTTGTGTTCACTCGCCCCTCTACACCAGGCGCCCTAACCGTGCGGGAAAGAGACTCCGGCTGCTCCTCTCCGGTGCTAAGTCCGGCTCTAGGACGAACTAAGAATTGAAAATTGATCCGGCGAGAGCTGCAGGTTAGATCGAAATCTTAGGAGGTGTATTCAAGCAGCAGGATTCTGATATGGATTTTTTTGAATTTTGAAAGTGTGTAGGTATTCAATTCAGATTTTAAAAAGTCATTTAAAATCTGACTGTATTCAATTGAGATTTTAAAAAGTCCTTCTAAATGTGATAGTATTCAAAAAGTTGATAGATTTTTAAAGATTTTTAAAAATGTAGATTTTGATGGATTTTTAAGCATTGGGTATAAATATAAATCCATTCCCAAATCTCACCCAAAAACAAAAGATTTTATAAAATCTTCTGCCGTCTACTTCTTCAGTTTTCTTCGACCGTCATCTTCTTCATCGGCCTTCTTCTTCATCCTCTCCTCTGGTCGAAATCTGTTTTTGCCGATTACTCCATGGATTTGAGATGGTTGCTTCAGATTTTTGGAACTCTTGGTTTGCCTACAGCGGGGAATCTATATTAGAGGTTTTTATCGCTGATTTTGGAGTTGATTTGAAGAATTTGAAGGTCAACGCCATGTCTGACACTATTCATCGCGATTTTGTCTCAATGATTCAGCACGATCCAGACTTTTTTTATGGCTAATTGTCTGAGACTTTGAGCGATTGGTAATCCTATTTCATGTTATGAGGTTGGATTTCAATCCCATTTGATTATTCAGTCGATTCAAGAAATTTTGGGTAGCGTTCTTACTGTTCAACGCGAAACTTTGGAATACGATTTTCATCAGGATTAGGTTTGTTTGTGGCCAAATATTTATGGAATCTTGGGTGTTATTTTGAGGTGTTTGTTGATGCTTTATTCAACAACAATCCTTTGTGTTTGGGTTTCATTGTGATACTCAATTGCGTGCTGGTTTTTTGCTATAAGTTTGGCACCATACAATCTGTATTTTGCTTTTGATTTTAAGGATTGATTGGAGACATGGAACCCATGTTAGTTCTGGTTTGTGTGTTCCACTCTGTGTTTTGTGATGGTGAACTGATTTTGTAAGTGATTGGAACTATTGTTTGTTTTGTGAGTGACCTATTGCCCTGTGAACCTGCTGCTGTTTTTGTGGAAAACAATGCCTGGGAGCTGCTTGGCTGGTCTGCGTGGGTTGGGAACATAGTACTGATTTGATGAACATGTATAAATAATCTATATATTATAAACAATCAAACAGAATCTTATAAAATCTTGCTGATAAAATATATTAAAATCTATCAAAATCTGCATAGACTTAAAACAGTCCATAGATTTTGCATAATCTAAAGATTTTAAACAATCTATCGAAATCTTTCATAATCCATATTAAATACACCTCCCGTGTCAGTTCATTTTTTTCCACGTAGTATCAGTATTAAAGTCCAATTTATTTCTCTCAGCGACTTCGAGGATGAAGCTCATCTTTTTTTAAGAAGAGAGAATCGAAACATTTTAATAAATTTTTTTGTTCTTTCGCAACAGTAATAAAAGACGGTCATGAAATGAAACTGATTGGCAAGTTTCACTCTATAGTTGATGGGTTTTAATTTATTTTGTTTGCTTACAACTGATTGAATTGTTAGGGCTTTTGTGATACATCAACCACAAGAATTGAATTGATTCAAAGATGATATATGTCATTAATTATTCAATTTTTAATATATCTCAAAATCATAATGGTGATGAGTTATGTATGAATGAAGAGAGTAATATTGACTAGCGACTAGTCTATTCCTCTACCTTTCAAAAAAATAAGGTTAGATGGATTTTTCGAAAAGTCATCGGAACTAAACACGTATGAGCTCAAAATAATACTCCTTGCATGCATCTCAAAACTCTTTTGTCGGTTTGAATAAGATGTATTTATTTTATTAAAGGGAGGAGACCCCGAGCAAAGAGACTAATCACTAACAGTAACTCGTTTTAGAGAAGAAGTACTCATGAAGTCATCCTCAATGAGTTTAATTATACTGGGCAGAAGGACCACATGAATACTCTAGTTAGGCTCTTGAAGGACACCAAAGCCCGACATTCGATTCACAACTGAATTATGTTCGCAATGGATATAACATAACATGATCCCTTAAACTTGTCTTTCCACTCTGTGATCTCTTCAAGAATAATACAAGCGGAGTCCCTGAAAAGATTTGCTCATTTATCTACTTGATCACCTCAGCTCAACAACATCCACTTACACTTCAATGCCACACACACCATGATTCTAGGGCCTACTCGAGACCTTTAGCAATAGCAACACATACACAATAAACAAAGCACAGATTTACAATCAGAAGTTTATCCAATCGATGCCAACTCCACGTCGATTAGAGTCTAAATTACATCTAAAGACCTCCCAAATTCACAAAACTCCCCCAAAATCTTATCTATAAATTACCTTACTCTTACTAATTTTAAAAATCCCGCCTCACACAACTTTCTACCCACTTTAATCTTAATTCTCTTAACTTGTCTTCACCCATGTATGTTCCTACCAGTGATACTCTTTGCAGTGATAAATCCCATGCAAAGAGAAAGCACACACCATAACATAAGGCAATCAAACCCTCAAAGACAGAATTATTGAAGCAATCCTACGACATTCCACAAAAAGTCTTAGGCATGTACACAACTCAGAAGCGGATTATCATCATTCTCGGAGGAAAAGAGTGGTCATATAGAACTCTCAAATTAATACTCTCTAATACTTTATAAGTTTATATACTCCAAGCTTAATGTAATAGCCTTGTTGTTACGTCAGTAGCTTTTAGGTCGAGCTAGCAACAAAAGAATTGAGGAAAACATGTGGAGGAGATTCACATGTTGTCTCACGGTACTGAAAACAAGATTAAACACGATTGTCTGGGCCCATTCATTAGTGATAAAGAAATATATAGACTATAATGATTATTTAGAAAAATATCAATTACAATCCTACTGTAATTGCAATGTGCCAACATTAGATCTCAAATATCAACGCTAGTAGATATTGATACCACCATGTCAACTATAACTACTCATGTAAAGTCTCATTTGAAGGGATCGGATTGTTAACTATTTGATAGCCTTGTCGTATATGATTTGCCATCGAAATTATTTTACATAGTAATAACAATTAGAGCACGGATACTTCCACCTATCATTTGGTGAATTTGTGTTATATTTTAGCAATTAGTGTTGATTTTATGTTATATTTTGGTAATTAGTGTAAGAACTCATCCTACTATTAGAAACCTGGTAAAAGTTATTAGCCTAATTCAACTAATTTATACCTTCAAAGATAATAACTCAATTGAGAAATCCTAGAGTTATAAACATAACTATCACAAAAAACACAACCTTACTATTTGTGTACTTTACCAAAAGAATAAAATAACTTTATATGACTATAAAATAAAAATTTAAATATAAAATGGCAACTTTATGTGTTTTGGGATTATTATGTTTGTGGCTCTAGCAGTTCTCTACTCAATTACCTCACATCAACCAGTTGTCCAATCAAGCGTCGAAGAACTCTACATATGATGTTGATGTTTAAAAGTGTTGTATATTATTCGTAATTAAAATTAAATTTACCTAAATAGGATATTATTCTATGAAGGACATGTTGTTTGTGTTGTTTTTTTAGTCTCACATCCATCAACGTAGTATATTCCTTGCCACTATGCAACATGCTAGACATGATCTTTGTGAAATAATTTTTCTAGAAACAATGAAACATTGAAAAGATAGTTCTAAATTTAAAGTCTAAATAATTAAAGTTAAATGCCTTAATTTGGCAAGTGGCCTGTATGGGTGAATTACTGAATTTGACCTCTGGGCTGAGTACATTTTTAAAACATAATTGGGGTATGCTAAAAAATAAATTAGGGCTCGTTTCAAATGGTCTGGACAACCCCTAATTGGGCCGTTTATCAGGCCTATCCTTAGCACCAACAGACGTAGAATCAAAGCAGGAAGGAACCAGACCAGAGAAATACGAAGTAATGGGCCGCAAGAGGAAGACTGCGACTCATTTAACTTATTTTTTAAGCTTATTATTTATTTTTATTAAAATCAAATCAGACTAAATTAAATTAGATGAGATCAAAATCAATATTTTATAATATTTATAAAATAAATATTTTTAAAATATTATTTTATATAATTAATATATAATATATATTTTATTTAATTATATGTCAAAAGTTGAAAAAGTTGACTAAAAAAATTAAAATTGGACAAATACTCAGGGGCGTAGGTAGTAATTTTTATTAATGACAATAATTTTTTAGGTATTTCTTTTAATTTTTTTAGGTACAAGTATACATATTAATATTTAGATAAAAACATAAAAAAATTTATTTATTTTCTTTTTGAACTATTTTTATAAATTTATAAAATAAGTATACTAGATACTACTTATATTGCTTTATCTAAATAATTGGAAATTTTATTGAAATCAACACAATCCATATATATTCTATTGCTTGACATAATAGCAAAATGTTAATTAGTTGAAGTGGATGGTGTATCTCCTAGCATACCCGAAGGCTCAGAAAAATTCACTATATTTTAGTGTTATATATGTAAATTTTCCAATATAAAATGTTAAAAAAAATTTGGCCAGTAAAATATTGTGTCCGGTCCGGTTGGGCTGCTCAGCTTGGCCTTCCCTGGGCCGACCCTGAAGGAGTTGAATGAATATATGTAATGGACTATTGTGGATTTGAAGAGCTACGAACCTTTTGAAGAAGCTCACTATATTTGGCCAAATAAGACGGGAGGAGACCCGTATGTAGCGGAGTGGAGATATGTGGTTGATGTCTTGTACTCCCTCCGTTCCACAAAACCCTTCCTCTTTCGTTTTTTTGCTTTCCACAAAACACTTCTACTTTCTATTAAAAAACCACTTTTACCCCTACTTTTCCATACCCTACCTATCACATCATACTTTTTCACTAATAACCAAACTATCACATCTTACTTTTTTCCATCACATCAGGGGCAAAATTGAAAAGTCAACCAAAATTACATTTTCCTTATTTTTGCCAAAAGTCAAAACTGGAAGTGTTTAAAGGAACGGAGGGAGTATTAAAAATCATACTGACAGGAAAACAGTGTTGAACAACGTGTCTCACAGAATTGTTGTGTTGCGGTGCAAGATGGTGAAACATCTGAATAAATGAACCTCTGTTTTGACCTCATTTTAATCAAACCTTCTTAGATACACTAACAGACTGACATCCGGGAAAAGAGTAAGGTGAAAAGTGTGGTCAAAATTGTGGTCCCCCAATTGCGAATATAAGTCTTACTCCCTCCGTCCCAAAATATTCACAACATTTTCTTTTTCAGCAGTCGCGGGAATTTTTGTTTATTTCTAAGTTTTCAATAGTTATTTGATAAAATAAAATATTCTTGACACTTCTTATTTCGAAGAACTTTTCATGTAGTTTTTTGATATGTAAATTTTATTTTTTATTTCAATACCAATATGTAAATAAAATGAATTGAAAAAGTTTGATATTTTGTTTTGGAAATACAAATGTGACAAATATTTAGGGACGGATGTAGTAATAAACAGATAGAAAAAAATTACACCCTCGTCCATTGGTGTTTGTTTACTTGTAACTTTTTTCTGGTCAAAATTTGTAAAGTTTGACCTCAAATTAAATGAAAATGATGATAAATTTTGATACAAAAATAATTTTATTAAATTTATTATATTAAATATTTTCAAAATACTATGTTATTTAATTAATATATAAGATATTTTTTATTTAATTATAGATCAAATGTTAAAAATAGTTGACTAAAAAAAATCAAAACTGGATAAATATTGAGGAGGGAGGTAGTAAGTCGGTAGGAAAAGAGGAGACTAGTGCACCACCACCACCCACTTGCCTTAGTAATATATTTGAGCAGAGAATATACTCTCTTATTTATACACTCCGTACCAAATGTGTGAATGGAGAATTTAGTTTTAAAGAAAGATCTCCACGAACACTTCTAATAATCTGCCTATATCTTTAATTTTTCTTTCTTTCTTTAACTTTACAAAAAAAAGAGAGAAGAAAATAGAAAAAGAATCATTAAATAAATATAATTCATCAGTTAAGTCGTCGCTGGTCGTTGGGGATCGGATGGATGAAGAGAGATCGTCAGGAAGAAGAAGGGAAGCAGGGAACATGCAGGGAGGAGGGGCTTGTGGAGAGGCGGCGCCGCCGGCGACCGTTGACTGGAGGGGCAGACCGGCGGATCCCCGCAAGCACGGCGGAATGACCGCCGCTGCCTTTGTTCTTGGTAATAACACAACTACTCCATCTCTGATCTTTACATAATCCTCCCATGCCCGGCCGCCATTCTTCTTTCTTTGTGTTTTTTTTTCTTTTTTCTTTTGTTAATATATCCTCATCAACATTCAAGCACGAACGCCACAAAGACAAATACACAATATTATATTATTGATCATTTTATCGAATTAATATAAAATAATACCCACTCCATCTCATAATTTTCTTCATTTTTGTTTTTTCATGATCTCTAATGCACTACTTTGATTAATTAATTTTTGTATTTATATATAATTGCATGCTGTAAAAATATAATATTTTTAAACTTTATTTTAAAATGAATCTATTTATATTAATTTTATATCATAACTAAATATAAATTTTTCATGTTTTATAATCAAAGTTAGGTCAGAAAATTTTGACAAAAATAAATAAGGAGGAAGATAATTTTGGAACGAAGAAAGTATAATAATAACATGTCTGATCTTATTTTTTAGATCGATGTTCTGACATTGTTTTTAATTATTTATGATGACAAATAAAGATTTAATTTCAATTGATCAATAGAGGCAAATTCGTTGTAAAAGAGTCAACTTTGTAATGTAATACTTGTAGTAGTGTAAAAATGTTATCCAGGGTGGACGTGACACCTCCAATAACCAATAATTAATGTGTGATTTACAAAACGTGTCGCATGACGTAGGAATTGAAATGTTTGGTGTTCACAATAGAATTGTCGACTGATGATGTGATTAATTAAATTTAATTAATGTTTGTACAATAGAATTGTCGACTGATGATGTGATTAATTAATAAATCTAATTAATTAATGTTTGTTCCCGCAATTTAACAAAAAAAAAAGGGCTGCAAGGAATGGAGATAACGGCGATAGCAGCCGTGGGGAACAACCTGATAACGTACGCGATGAATGAGATGCACTTTTCGCTGTCCAGATCAGCAAACGCCGTCACGAACTTCGTTGGGACACTGTTCATCTCCGCACTCCTCGGGGGCTACCTGTCTGATGCTTATCTTGGTTCCTTCTGGACCATTCTTTTCTTTGGCTGCATTGAACTCTCTGTACGTATATATTCTTTACGTCTCTCTCCTCCCTCTCCTTTTTCAGTCTCCTCTAACAAAACAAAAAACTTTAATCATCTCTTTAATTTTGCAAAATTAAAAGAAATATTGAAAATATTTGAAGGACCTCAAGCATTAACCAATAACCATTACACATCAAAGTCACCAAGTATATGATAAAGTAAACACAGACACTCAACGTTTGTACATGCACAAATATTATCTGGACATAGGCAGATACTGATGTGTGCAATGTTTGGGGTCCTACTAACACCATGGTTTGCAATTTGTAGACTTGAGATTGGCAATGGAAAAAATGAATTGAAATTAGGCCCCGTTTGGTATACAGAATTCAAACTATGGAATTGAAATTGAAGACTTCAATTCCAATTCTGGTGTTTGGTAGCACAAAAATTATAGTATGAATTTAGAATTGATAGTGCAAAAAATGAATTGAAATTGGTATATTCAATTCTATGGAATTGAATCCCATGGAATTTTAATTCTAATTCAATTCCATATACCAAACAGACTAGAGAATTCGATGGAATTCAATTTCATAGAACTTGAATTCTAATTCTGTCAATTTCGTATATACCAAACAGTGAAATGGTTTATGTTTTAATATTTTATTACAGGGTTTTATATTATTAGCCATACAAGCCCATTTGCCCCAGCTAAAACCAGCAAAATGCAACATGTTTGGGGGAGATGGGGTTGTGTGTGAGGAGGCAAAAGGGTCTAAGGCTTTGATATTCTTTTTGGCGCTGTATTTGGTGGCGCTGGGGAGTGGGTGTGTGAAACCGAACATGATTTCCCTGGGAGCCGACCAGTTCGACGCCCAAACGCAGCCCAAGCTTGTTGCCACCTACTTCAACGCCGCCTACTTCGCCTTCTCCGCCGGCGAGCTCGTCGCTCTCACGCTCCTTGTTTGGCTCCAGACTCACTCCGGGATGGAGGTTGGCTTTGCCGCCTCCGCCTCCGCCATGGCGATGGGTTTGATCAGCCTCGTCGCCGGCGTCCGCCTCTACCGGAATAAGCCCCCGAGAGGACGCATTCTCACTCCCATTGCTCAAGTAAGTATGTTTTGGGATGGAGTACTTCCTCTCTTTCCACCCTTTTTGAATCTTTTCAGTTGATTTTTCATTATTGTTTTTAATTTAATACTTTGATCATCAATATCTATACTTGTAAATGAAAATTTATTATAAAAATATATAATATTTAAAAATTATGATTCAAAATAAATTTATTGTCATATTAATATTACGTGACAATTTAATGTATTTTTTGTAACTTATAGTTAATGTTTAAAAAAGTTAACAACATTGAAGTGAGAAGATTGAAAAGGAGAAAAAAAGTACTCTCTCCGTCCCATAAAGATAGAAACGGTTTGATTAAAGTTGTAGAATAAGAAGGGTTAGTTTTGTGTTGACTTTCCAAAAATACTCTTGATGTAATGGGTAAAAGTAAGATGTGATGTGTAGATTATTAGAAAAAAGATATGATGTGATAGGTAGGATATGAAAAAGTAAAGGGGTAAAAACGGTTTTTTGATAAAAATAGGAATGACTTTAAGGGACGCAATTTTTTTGAAACTGGAATGACTTTAGGAAACCGAGGGAGTATAAATATAGTACTCCCTCCGTCCCGCTATATTCGTCCACTTTTGACTTTTGGAACTGTTCATCTAAGTACTTTGACTCATCAAATTCTCTCAATGTGTAAGCCTAAATATAGTCATGTGTGATCTTGTTTGATTTGTCTTAACATATAGATTATTAATATATACTCCCTCCGTCCCCCTAAGATGTTCTCATTTTGACTTTTGGTGGTTTTTAAGAAGAGTTGAAAAAAGGTGAAAGTTTACCATAATATCCTTAATGAAAATGGGTGAAGTGTATTAAATGAGGTGGGTGAGGTGTAATAAATAAAATAAATGGAGGTAGTTGTGGTATTTTAATTGTTAAAAAATGAAATGAGAAGATCTATTGTGGACAAAGAAAAAGGGCTATTGGAAAGATCTATGGGGAACGGAGCGAGTAATTTCTATGATTTTTTAATATACAAATTACAAGATAAAATGGATTAAAGAAGTATATTGGATAGTGTATAAAAATAAAAGTGGATAAATACTCTGGGACGGAGGGAGTAATACATAAAATTCGCATTTGGCTTTCTTACTTTTTTGAGAATAAACTAAAGGAGACACTTTCTATTAACTGCTAGGTACGTATGGGTATGGTGTGTCCATGCCATCATCATTATAGGGACTAAAATAAATACTCCTTTAATTTGCATCTATCTTTATTTCACTATCTACTTTTGACCCATAGATTCCGTTGGATCTTGAAAATTTTCAATTAGCTTACTTTGAAAAGGCAAAAACTAAATAATGTAATCAAATTGTGTTTTTCAAGGGTGATGCTAACATTATCATCAGCTTGACATTTAAAATGCATTGTGGTTTTCTCACATTTTTAATGCATTACATGCATTTTTTTTTAGAAAAACTCACTTCTTTTATGCTATAAATGCATTAAGATCTATGAAATGAACATGAAATATACTACCTCCGTCCCAGAGTATTTGTCCACTTTTATTTTTACACATCATCCAATGCACTTCTTTAATCCATTTTATCTTGTAATTTGTATATTAAAAAATTATAGAAATTATATATATTAATAATCTACTCCCTCCGTCCCAAAAAGAATGGGACGGTTTGACTTTTTGAGAAATTAAGGGAAAGATATTTTGGTATTGATTTTCCAAAAATACTCTTGATGTGATGGGTAAAAGTAGGATGTGTGATGGGTAGATTATTAGGAAAAAGGTATGATGTGATAGGTAGGGTATGAAAAAGTAAGGGGTAAAAGTGGTTTTTTAATAGAAATGTAACAGACTTTACGGGACGCAGTTTTTTTTAAACGTAACAAACTTTTTGGGACGGAGGGAGTATATGTTAAGACAAATCAAACAAAATCACACATGACTATATTTAGGCTTACACATTGAGAGAATTTGATGAGTCAAAGTGCTTAAATGAATAGTTCTAAAAGTCAAAACTAGACGAATACTCCGGGACGGAGGGAGTATATAACTTATATTATGACCATTTGTGTGAGATTACTAATAATTAAACATATAATTTTGGGAACAGGTTTTAGTGGTAGCGTTTATAAAAAGGAAAAATGCACTAGTCCCATCTGACCCCATTCCTAACTCCACCACTGCGTTCAGGTAACATGCATTTTTGTCTCTTTCACAATTTTGATTAATTATTTATATTAATACTCCTATTGTTTTTAGATGCAAATTTCATATGTATAAAATGCTACTTCCTCCGTCCCCCTGTATTTGTCCACATTTGACTTTTGGAACTGTTCATCTAAGCACTTTGACTTATCAAATTCTCTCAATGTGTAAGCCTAAATATAGTCATGTGTGATCTTGTTTGATTTGTCTTAACATATAGATTATTAATATATAATTTTTATAATTTTTTAATATACAAATTACAAGATGAAATGGATTAAAGAAGTGCATTGGATGGCGTGTAAAAATGAAAGTGGACAATATAGGGGGACGGAGGGAGTACTAAAATTAAAAAAACAGTAAATTATGAATATTTGTTAGGAAAATAAATATTTTACACAAAACTGACTTACTAAAATTTATGTTGTTAAAGAATGGAGTACAATAGTACATGTACATCCCATTTATAAGAAATTGACAATTTTACCTTTCATTTATTTCATTTTCTTTTTAAACATTAAGGGTAACTTTGTCCGTCCATTTCATATAAAAAGGGATGGATATAGTTAAATGAATAGTGGATTTAGCAATAACAATAAGAGAATTATATCAAATATTTACTCTTAGAATGGAATCTCTTTCACTATTTACATAATTACATTACCAGACTATATGTCTCCTTCTCAAATTGATATAAAATATTTTTTTAAGTAAAATATACTCCGTCTACCTCCAAATAATAATTTCACTCTTATTAGCTTTTTTACCGCCCCAAAGCAAACTTTTTAATTCTTTTTTTTCAAAATGAATGATTACTTAATTAATAATTAAATATTCTATAGTCAAAACAAAATCAATTCCATACATACATTTTTGACTTATCAACAACTTTCATAAACTTCGTCAAACTAGGCTCGTTAGGGAAGGAGGGAGATCGAATTACATATTTTTATTAATCGTTTAATAAAATAAAATAGTCAAATCAAGGACCACTTTCGTAATACTTTCTCCGTTGTGATTTAATCTTCTCATTTTGACTTTTCTTGATCAAATCTTGTAAACTTTGTCATGATATGCAGAAAAAACATTGTGTTTCAATATATATTGGCGTATGTGAACAATAAATTAATTAAAAGTTTCAAGTGATTTACTATATATAGCTTGTGCAATTTGTTAAGGTGGCTAAACAAGGCTTGTATAAAAGAGAACCAAGAAGGGTCAAATAAGGAGAATCCATGGAGGGTTTGCAGTGTGAGCCAAGTGGAACAAGTGAAGACACTCATCTCTATCATTCCAATATTTGCATGCACCATTGTGTTCAACACCATTCTTGCACAGCTCCAGACATTCTCAGTCCAACAAGCCACAACCATGGACACCAAGCTCACCATCATAAACAGATCCTTCCACATCCCTCCAGCCTCCCTGCAGGCCATCCCGTACGTCCTCCTCATCGTCCTCGTCCCCCTCTATGACGCCGTCCTCGTCCCCCTGGCCCGCAGGATCAAGGGCGACCAGGACGGCGTCACGCCCCTGCAGCGCATCGGCATCGGCCTCCTCTTCGCCACCCTCTCCATGGCCTCCGCCGCCCTGGCGGAGGCCAAGAGGAGGAGCGCGGCGGCACACCACCGCAGCGGCGGCGTCTCCATGTTCTGGCTGGCCCCGCAGTACGTGGTCTTCGGGGTGTCGGAGATGTTCGCCGCGGTGGGGCTGATCGAGTTCTTCTACAAGCAGCCGCTGAAGGGCATGCAGGCGTGCGCCACCGCCATAACCTACTGCTCCTACTCCTTCGGCTTCTATCTCAGCTCGGTGCTCGTCTCTCTCGTGAACAAGATCACCGCTCGCCGGTCTTCCTCCGGCGGCGGCGGCGGCGGTTGGCTCGCCGACAATGACCTGAACAAGGACAGGCTAGATCTCTTCTACTGGTTACTAGCGGCGTTAAGCCTCTTCAACTTCCTCAACTATCTGTTCTGGTCAAGGTGGTACTCTCGGTTGCGGTTGCTGCCGCCGCCGCCGCCTTCCTCGGCCTCACATCACCACGAGTTGAACACAAATAAGAAGATTGCTGTGTGGAATTGAAGTGATGTAAATACTACTCCATATGATTATATTCATCTAAAGTATAATTAACTTCGTATGCATGGCGTGTGTGTGTGTGAGCGAGAGAGATAATAATGACATAGGGAGTATTTATGTATATAATACAAAAGCATTAACGCACATCTTACATATAGCTTGTAAAAAGAAATTGTGTGTGTCTATATGTGTGTGTGCTTATTTGCAGATGAGAGATTATTTGTGACTCTAGCATTACTCTAGCTAACATAAATATGCGCTCATTCCCTAACACAAAATATACATTTATATCGTGTACATCCACATGTATTTATTATACTCCCTCCGTCTGAAATATTTAACCTTTATATTTGATTTTCATTGGTCAAAGCTTTTAAGAGTATGACTGGCTAAACTTCTCTCTTTTAAACTAATTATCTTACTCACACTTTTTTATTTTTCAAGAATTTGTTCGACCTTCTTAAAATCAAACAAATTCTTTAGGGAATTCTCCTTTGGCGCAATCAAACAATCTTTTTTTTCTAAAGAAATAACCAATGAAAATATGTGTAAAGGTTGATGAAAGAGATTAGGGTCAAGTGCAAAAGGCCCATTTCAAGAGATAAATGTGCAAAATATCGACAACTAGTAGTAGAACGTTGTTGAGTTCACAAGTGGGGAAACACAGAGTAAGGATACATATATATATGAGAATACAAACAAGCCACATACAAGATTACCAGACCAGATAAATTACTTAAAACTATGGAAGCTCACTGTGTTCCAGTGCCGCGATTTCTTTCATAACCTGAGCTTTGTCTGCCTCAAACTGTTCATCCTCTGCGATAGGGAAAAACACACAAAAATGGGCACGCGCAGAACGCTATTATATAATTAGAACGTGAGTGTGTTTGTTTGTTAGTGTTAGATGTTCGTTTCCATACCTTTATCGGTCTTGAAATCTGCAAAAAGGCGTAAAAGCTTGCTTCTGTTTGCAACCAGGATGTTAATGATGTCTGGAGGCTTGTGTTGATTGGCAGCAAACAACTTCAAAATTTGGAATGTGCCCATTAGAGAGTGAGAGAAAGAGAGAATTTTGGTGTCTATAGTTCGAAACCCGTACCTTAAAAACATGAAATGCTTCAATTTGGATGCTCTTGCTGGACTCCTGCAGAAAGAGTAATATGGAGAATGTGAGATCAGCAATTTGATACAACAGAGGGGACAAAGAAAGAAACTAAGGCAATACATACATACCCTAAGGAGGTTCATCAGAATCCTCAAGTTATCTCTTGAGCTAACATAGCGTGTCATCACCGCAGAATTTGATCGGTCCAGAAGCATGTCCCCCAACAACTGCAGAAAACATTGTGACCTTTTAGAGACAAATTGTTAAACTCAAAATATGAAGCCGCGTATTGTTTGGAGTGCCTAGAACAGACCGTTAAAAGAGGTCAAAAAAAGATGAATTGGCATAGAAGAGCGGGTAAAAGCACTTCAAATAAAGGCACAAAATTTTTAGGTTCTTATGTTCTTATGACTATACATACGAGGCTTGCCCTATCTTTAGTGCTTGCAATAAAATTTACTCATCGCTGAAAAATCTCCCAAGAAAAGAAGAGGCAAAGTTTGAAAATCATGGACTTACCTTTATAGCTTGCCTTCGTGTAATGTAGTTGGGAGACTCAAGCAGCTGTGAATTATAATCAGCAAAAAACTAGAACCAAAGATATTGCAAGAAGCATAATCAGGCAGTCACTATATGAATATGTTGGTAAATAAATTTAACGAAATCAGGAGGTTACAAAGAGGCCACTTTTGATATCTTGTGTTATGGATGATAAAGAAGTTCCCCAGTTACATAACACATATGTATACAACTTAAAGAGGAAAAATTACTCACCCAGTCATAGTTCTTGGAGAGAAATTCAGCTACTGTGGATTTATGTCTTGTCAAGAGTTCCTATAAAAAACAGGCAGACAAAAATCAATCTTTTGTCTTGGCAGAGATGAACCAATAAAGGCCGAGTGAAGAGAATTGAAAAAAGAGCCTCCAAATATTAGCTGCCTAATAATCAAACTGAATTGGTGTTTTTTTCTTTTTAATCATTCGATCAACACTTTTTTTTGTTTTCGAGTTCTTATCAATTAAAAAGAAAAAAAAACCAACACAAGTGCACTCGCTATGATCACACACACACAGAGGTCGGGTAGAAGTTTGGCACTTGGCATCCCAAGTGATATTTCTCAATGCTATAAATTCAACTTTAGTAAAAAAAAAGTTATTCAACCTTAAAAGTTGCAGCAGCATCGGCAGCAAGGTCAAAATTTGGCAGTTGTATATAGGTAAAGAACTTCTTCATGTGCTGTGAATTCAGGACATACCTGAACCAGAGCAAACCATTCAGAAGTTCAAAAAATAATGCACCTTCCGTAGCAACAATTAACACCAGAAGAGTGAGACACATAAAATCTCACACTGTAGCTGCTTACCTAGCAACACTTTGGTGCCGGATGCAATCCCTCAGCATAGCACCATAATGCAATGCAATGTCTGCTTTCTCATAACTGAGTAACACCAAAAGTTTCACACTTATTGCCATTAGACAACCAATAGAAGCATTCGTCTAGGGAAAGGTTAGCTAAGAAATGTTTTCTGTATATTAGATTGTGAGGTACTCCATAGTAAATAGTACGCGTAATAAAATAACTTTAAGCCAACGTACTACAGAAATACTCATGGAGTACTTAAGGTTAATCACGGAGCACTGGAATAAACTGCATAGCAGCCATAACATTACGCTTCTATAGTAGAGAAAATTTCAATCCAAAGATGTGATTACCAATCACCCAAAATTCCTACAGACTTAATCTACACAAACTAAAAGTTGAATAAGCTGAGTGGTCATGGTTATGGACTTGTGTCTAAAAAATAAGCCTCCATCCTGAAAAAGAGGCATGTTTCAAGGGACCGGAATTTAGGACTTTAAATGGTTTTACCTTCTCATAATTAAAAAGTTACGCATTGACAAAAAATGAGTCTTTTGTTTTGGGACGGATGGAGTAATATATTAAGAATGCAACATAAAAACCTTTGGGTACATCAAAACTACATAGTCTGATATTCTGGACGTTAATCAAGGAAATACTTTATCCACTTACTCTAAGAAATGTACAATTAGAACTAAAAAAATGTAGTCATGCATCTCTTATGGACTTGTAGAATGACTCTTTTTTTTTTTTCTTTCAACTAAGTGAAGCAGAAGCTGTTAAACCTTATTTAACCATTCTAAATTGGATACCAAAATTTACAAATGTGCATAATTGAAAAATTAAAATTTTTAAATTAAAAAAAAGGTTCCAAAATGAATTGAGAAGTATCGATATTCAGACCACTACGATTTTCCAATTCAATCATCCAAAAGAGAGCCTTACCCTAATATTAGAATATCCATGAGATCCAAATTGGCTTCCAAGTAATCACATGCAACCAGCCTTGACTGAACCTGCTGCCTTTGCAGATTTGCAACTACTTGAGTAGCATCTTTACGCGTCTACAAAAGCACGTGCTTTAGTGAAACAAACATAGGCAATGGAACTAGTTGATGATAGTGCCTTTGAACTAAGCAATTGTGGAACAAACAAAGTACAAAATCCGCACCAACAATACCTCTAAATTCAACTTGGGAAGACAGTTAATTAGGAGGCGCAACGTGTTTTCTCTAAAGAACTCTTGTGTCAGCTGCGTACATGCCTCCGCAACCGGTTCAGCTTCGCTGTTCCCGTAAAGAATTAACTTCATTTCCCGGATAAGTTTGCTCAGCTCACCCATCTGAAAACCCAGCAGAGTATAAACAAAAAACAGCAAATTCATAAATATATACACCAGAAGAAATTACTATCTACAAAAGCCATATCATTACATCAGTCCAGGCACAGCATCCACATGATTCAAGCTCAATTTCATTCAATTTCTACTAGCATCTCACCATAAAGTCTTTTTAATTAGGAGGGAAATATATATTATTCGACAAAGCACAAGAATTAGAGCTTGACAGAGAGTAATTAGCGACTAAAGACAAAAAAGAAACAAAACCCTACTGACCTTTTCTTCTCGCTTGCTCTCACGGGAATCGGAAGCGGACCCAGTTTCGACATAGACGAGGAGATCGCGAGCCTGACGAACAACGTCAACAGGGGTCCTAGGCTTGGACTTGAACAAACCCTTCATCTCGCCGGAGGCAAAGTTTTCCGGCAGCGGGAATGGAGGCGATGGAGCTAGAAGCTCGGGTCCAACCGGATAACCCAACCGAAAGATTGCTCTTTTTTTAATTTCTCCCCCACCCACTCACCCAGAAAGCTCTCCCTCTTCAGTGCGCTCGTCTGGGTTGAGTAATTAGGTTCTGTTGGTTAGGCGGCGGTTGGTGGGCTGTTTGAACGAGCGGTTTAAGCTTCTGTGGCGACGTCCCACTGTCCCACTCTACAACTCACATGAGACCTACTTATATCTTTTCATGTTTTCCAATTTTTTGTTTTGACCAGACACTTGATTCCCAATTGGTGAACACGTACCGAACCCAATCTAAAAATTAGGGGTGAGCACGGTTCGGTATTTAGCTTGTACCGATAGTCCGATACCGTACCAAATGTTTTGGTTCGGTATGGGATTTTACTCCGTACCGATCCCGATCCCGAAATATCGGTTCCGTATGTTTCAGGATGGTTCGGTATCGGTTTCGGTACAAATCGGGATGAATATACATAACAATTTTCACGTTAAAATTTAACAATGTCCCTTTATTTTTGAAAATTAAAAAGTAAATTTAAATAAAAAACATGAAAAATTAAAAAAAAAAATAAATATTTAAATGCAATAGATGTCTATCAAAACTTAGTTTATATTTCACAAACTAAAAAATAAACGACAATAAAGGAATATTTCAAATCTTTGTGAATACTTTTATGTTCATACACAAAAATTAAAACTAAAAAAAATAATTTACACATAATAGAACTTGAACCAATTTTTTTTAAAAAAAATTACCCGGAGTATTATTTAGTGAAGGAATATAAAAATATTACTCCAGGGTATTATTTTTTATAATATTTTAGTATATATGTTCGGTTCGGGATTTTTGGTATGGGACGTCTCCTCGTACCGTTCCCAAATACCGTACCGACCATTCGGTTCGGCATGGTTCGGCTCCTTCTCGGTAATTTTTCGGTTCGGTATTCTCGATTTTTTCGGAAAATTTCGGTATCGGTTTGGTACTTGCTCACCCCTACTAAAAATTATGGAAAATATAAAAAAAATATTGAACCAATAAAATACCAAAAAATTGAATCGTACTGAACTCAAGAATTAGCTCGATATTTGGTAACTGTAAGAGATAGTTTCACATAACGAAATTTCTGAACCGAATATATATACTATTATACTTTAAATACGAGTACAAAACTCTTTTTATATTCTTTTTATTAAAGAATAAGTTTGTTTAAAAAATTGGTTCAATTTTCTTGTGTGTTCGTTGTTCTTTTGTTCAAGTTTTAATTTTTTGTATACGAATTAAAAAACATTTAACAAGGATTTGAAGTACTATTTTGTTATCATTTATTTTCTTTAGTTTGTGAAATAAAAACTAACTTTCATAAGCCTTTTTTGAATTTAATTATTAATTTTTAAATTTTTTATGCTTCTCTATTTAAATGCACTTTTTATTTTTCAAAAATAAAAGTTTTGTTACATTTTGAAGTATAAATTAGGTACATATGTTTTTATACCGATTGTACCAAAATTGATATTGAACAATACCGAACTAAAATTTCGTGATCGAAATTGGTACAATGTAAAATCTCATACCGCTAGAGTAATGGTTTATACACAGGTACAAAATGTTAATGTAAAAGTTTTTGATCACATTAGCATATTGTGTCAATGTGAAACATCAAAATGTTACTGAATAACTTTGATGTACACTTTGGAATATATTTCATGGGTGCCTCTAGCATGGTTAATTAGTACTCCCTCCAATTTCTTATTTTGATTAACGTGCAAGATCTCGTAATTTTTAAATTTATTTTATTTACAAATTTGTAAAGATATAACACATAAGAAAATTATATTTAAAAACTACATCGAAAACTCTACAAAATAAGAGGTGACAAACATATTTTATTTTATCAAATGATCAATGAAACGTGCAAACAAATAAGAGTTATTGAAAGACCGTACGTAATAGTAAACAGAAAACTTTTTGGGAGAGCGAATATTTGTTTTTGATGATTACTACTCTTTCTTACCCTTGAAAACCTCATCCCAACCACTTTGTTTCCATATTTTCTTCGTGGTTGGGATAGTGTATCCCCAAAACTTGCATACATGTAAGACAAATGAAATTATTTTCAGTAATAGTGAAAAATTAAATTATTTTTTAGAGAGCACGAAAATGTGGGACTACTTTAGATAGTTGTCCCAAAAATAACATATTTGTGCCTAACATGAATGATTGTTATGTGAAACAAAATAAGCGTGCACGGAATACTCAAGTTGTTACAATTGTGCATCATTACAAGTTTGATTGCTTGTTTGAGATAATTGATAGGTTTGTCGAGGAGCTTGGAAGCAGGTTTGATGTAACAAGCACTGAATTGTTAAATTGTGCTGCATGTTTAAGCCCTTGTTCATCGTTTGAGTCTTATGACAAAGCTACATTATTAAGAATGGCTGATTTTTTATCCAAGGGAGTTCTTAAAAGTTGGCATCAAGACTTTAAAAAACCAGCTTTTAGATGTCCGAACTGATAGTAGACTCGCTGCTTTGAATGTGTTTGTTGTTTGTCTATGAAAATGGTTTCTACAAAGAAGGATATGACATATCAACATGTTTACACACTCATAAGATTAGCTTTGCTTTTACTAGTAGCAACTGCTAGTGTTAAGCGTGCTTTTTCAGCCATGAGGTTTGTGAAGAATGAGGTTCGAAATAAAATTTATGTCTAATGGTTAAATGGTTGTCTATTGACATATATTAAAAAAGATGTCTTTGTTACTATTAGCAATGATAAAATAATAAATCACTTTCAAAATATGAAAACTAGATGTTATCAATTGTAAGACGTATTTCACATTTGCAATGTAGAACTATTTTTAATTAGTATTTTCAATAATATATAAAAATTTTAATGTTATGTATTATAGAATACTGTTTATTTACTGTTAGAAGCATGATGGGTTAATTTAAATTTTCTAAATTACGACCTTATGGTTCAAATATTCTGGGTTCGCCCCTGCTTGTGGTGTCGATTACAAGCACAAGGATGCAATATATAGGAAGAGCGCATCTAGGATTTCATAACATAGGCTAGCAATAAGTCAAGGCCGAGCATCCACAAATCCAACAGTTTTCAAATATCAAATTTTTATAAAATATATATATGTATAAATATATATATATATTAATACTCGAAGTAGAACATTAGAAACCGAAAAAGTCATATAAAAGTTTCTCTAACAAATTTAATCAGACTTATCTGCGCATTTGCTAATTCAAATATCTCTAACAACCTTTACTTACTCTTTGGAGATCAAAGACAACATACAATCGAAAATCTTCACTAACTAAGACAGATTCGAAGCGCCGTCGTACGGCTTGAAGGAGGTCAGATTCCTCGCCGGCAACCAAGATTGGTCCCAGACGACAGCCTCGTACATCTTCCCGGCGGCCTTAGTGGCGATCACGAGCCTGTAATTCATCCCGGCGACGACTTGTTCCTCGCCTTTGACCACGCGTTCGAACTCCAGGGTGGTGTTCGCCGCCTTGTTGATGGCGGCTACGGCGAATCTTCCGATCTCCACCACTTAGGGGGAAGGGGGCATCGCGATGGGCCCCCATCCGCCTAGAAGGCTATCCGAGTCGCCGGGGGAGGGGAAGAGCAGGGCGGCGGAGGCCACCACGAAGAACAGGACGATGCGAGAATTTAGGGCCATATTGTTTTCAATTTCTAGGGGTTGTTTGGAGTTGGTTCTTATATATATAACCAGTTTCTGGAAAGCGGAAAGGAGGACAAATCACATGTCACAAGCAAATTATACGGTCCTACTCATAGACTCCCACTCCTCTTCAAATTAAACTTCTTTTATTCTTTTGTGAAATTTTTAAAAAATAAAAATAATTTTACTCAATTCATTTTTTATGGATTTCAAAAAGTATATATAAAAATATTATATACATCTCCTAGTATTCGTCTAATTTAATTTTTTAATCAAAATAAATAAATTTTTGATTATCAATTGAATAAAAATTATACAGAGTATTGCATATCAAAAATATATAATAATATATTAATGCGAAATGAAAATTTTATATAATTGATGATTTAAATTAATCTAACTTGATTAAAAAAATCAAGCTTGATAAATACTCTAGAACGGAAGAAATATAGTTAAAGGCTTGTTTAGATAAAAACATTGTGAATCCCGTGTTCATTTCAAAAATAATACTACCTCCGTCCCACT